AGTAGCCGTAATATGGATCACTTGCATACGCATCTACAGCAGAAGCAGATGTTGCAGGTGGCAACTCATGTCTAGCACCGCGAGTATAAGCTGGGTAATCTCTATCATTCAAGTAGAGAGGATCGGAATGAACAGTTTCTCGATGTGCAGGGACAGCCTCCCGGTAAATGAGGTTTGGCTGTCTAGCAAGACGCTCTCTTTCATACTCTCTATGGCGAGCTTCCAGAGCTGGAGGAACGATACGAGGAGACACGTTATGAACATTTTCTCGATGTGCAGGGACAGCCTCCCGGTAAATGAGGTTTGGCTGTCTTGCAAGATGCTCTCTTTCATACTCTCTATGGTGAGCTTCCAGAGCTGGAGGAACGATACAAGGAGACACATTTCTTCTCTCTCCCCGAAGACCATAAGCTCGATATTCCTTTTCAGTAAGGTATAAATCATGCGAAGTTTCCTCTCTCCTTACAGATGCCACATCTCGGTATTTAACATGCTGGTCCCTTTCATGAGCTAACACTGGATAACTCCTAGCATCACCATTGGCATAAAGATCTCTAGCATGTGCATCCCTGTGGGCATGTGGCAGTGATTCCCTTGCTCCTTCATGAACTCCCCGATCCCGAACTTTAGCCTGGACTGGGGAACGGGTGGCTAGAGCAGTTGAATGGACTTGAGCTGGTTGGAAAAGTGCTGTGAGCTTCCTGACCTGAAAGGAAAATATTGGATATTATTAGTTCAGCATATGCGAAGAAACAATGATCGCTCACTCCAGGAAAACTTAATAAAAGGCAGGCACATTATCTCACTTGTCGAACTGTAAGTTCTGTTTTGAACTTCTTTTTCTCATTATAGTTTTCTTGTATTGCCTTCTTGAAAACACTCTCAGGTAGAGGAAGACAATCTTTCTCCACGTTGAACCGCACCTGAAGTTTTCAAGTCATCAGCATACATGTCTGGTTAACTAAAAAAAGCAAACAAGGAGAGAGAGATCTAAGAAAATGTGACCTGAGCAGGGAAGGCTCCGCCAAATGCTTTTGGCTCGAGTTTTAGGCCACCTGAAGAGGATGCTTTGTAAACTCCATACAAAAGCTTAAGATCAAAATCAAAGAGAAAAAGCTTCAACCCAGGTTTGATACCCAACACAAGGTCTTTTTTACCCATTGAAACACCCATGATACGGTAATGGAAGCAGTCTGGCTTTGTCTTTCCACTGCACATGAAGATCAAACCACCAAGCTTTTCCCTCTTTTCATCATGTTTTTCGCTGTTCCTTTGACTCTTCACACTCTTGTCTGACCCACGTCGTTTTTCTGTACTCTGCTGTTTTTGTCGGCTCTTTTCGGATTCGTCAATCTTTACTGGATTCTTTTGAGCCCAATGGCTCTTCTCGGCATGCTTTTCATTCACGATATTCTCTTGTTTCTCTCTTTTTGAATTCATCTTCTTGGCATCTTCTTCTCTTTTGTTGCCACTCTCGTTGTTACCCCTATTCCGCCTTCGTTTCCTCCCATTAACCTGTGAGCTAGTTGTACCTTTGCTCGTTTTCAAGCTGTTATGAATGGGAGTTTTCTTCACTATTTTAGCTTTGCCCTTCAATGATCTTGGGGTTTTCTTTCCAGAGTTGGATGCTTCTGCAGGAGAGGCAATTTTCTTTTCAGATACATCAGGTTTATTAGACACTTCTGCAGGAGAAGACATTTTCATTTTAGCTGACTCAGGTCCACTGAACGCTTCAGCAGAAGAGGTCTTCAGTTCAGATGAGTCTGGTTTTTTTGATGCTTGTGCTGGAGAGGGGATTTGTTCAGATGAATCCAGGTTGTTGGATGCTTCTGCAGGGGAAGGGATTTGCTCAGATGACTCTGAATTATTCAACACTACTGCAGGACTATTTCTCTCCTTCCTGTTATCTGTTTCCATATAGTTATCATCTAGTTCCATAGTATATGCTATACAATCAGGATCACAAAGCCAAATGCATCCTGAAAACAATTTGGTATTGTAGTGATTTATTTTGTTTTCTATTAAAAAGTGAAGGATGCAGGAACAACATAACCAGGAAAGGAATCAATCGACATGAGAAGGAAAAGGAAAATAAATGAATGTAAAAGCACCTTCCATACTTCACTCTGTTCTGGCAATACATAAAAACTTAAAACAGCATTGAAATTATTTCTTTTAAAGGCAATACAGTAAATCCATGGAGACATTTTAGCTAAGTGGAAAGGTATCAGTTTCAATCCAAGAATCACTCAAATTTAAATCTCCTTTTTAATATTTTGGTGCACAATACAGAAAAGGTTTCGACCTTCATGCCCTTGTCTTTTTTTTAATTAGTTTCAATACTGAAAAAACACTAACTGTAGAAGTACAAATCCTAGAAGAAAAAATGATGGATGGTGCTTTATGTTCCAAGTATGACTGGTAGTTTGTGCACATTAGCTTTGCATGTAAAGATAAGACCCCTTCCTCTGTATATCCCTAAAGGAAAAAAAAAAAAAAAACCAAAAAACAAAAACAACACTGCAACTGTTTGTACACAATTTTATTCTGTATAGTTGACAGGCATGAAGCTATCAAACTAACAGAGAAATACCTCTGTGTGTATGCGCGAGCCTGTTTGTGTGTATGCTTATATACACATGAATATATATTGCACTGGGCATGAGGTATACGTGCATGAATCCATATGTGTATATGAAGTCATGTATATGGAAAGAACAATAACTTCAACACCTTTAGGTGGATGTTGTCCTATCCCCCATTTTTATTCAACAAGTACACCTCCAGTGTGAAAAAACTATAAATTTGTTGTAGTTTCACAAAAAAATATGAGAAACACAGATCTCTCTCCATGAAACCCTTCCAATCTACAAATTTCCCTTCCCTCTCCTGCACTAAGCTGTCAAAATACAGTTCATTCATTCTACATTGTCCTTTTAACACAGAGGCTCACTCGTTTGAAAATTATGAAGACACCCCTGTAGATCTATCTCTGCCGATAATTATCCTGCTTTTTCAATATGGATACTTACCAGGGTCTATTTATGATTTCAATACCTCCATCTAAGGAGCATTCTTTGTTACAGTTGATCTACTCAAATAAACCACAATGAACGACCAGCAAAAATCACGAAAAAGGCTTGACTATTGACTGTTTTACCATCCTTGTCGACCGGCCAGAAACATGCTACACGTGCAAATTTGTTACATGATAATAATATCACTACTTTATTCTAAGGAACAAATGATTAATAAAAATCATGACAAATATTTGACTATTGAATTTTTTCCATACTTGCCAGCTTGGCAGAATCATGCCAACTGCTACACATGCATTTTTGGTACATCTGACAGTATCAAGACCAATAAATCTTATTTGCACACTTTCTTTTCCTGTTCTCTCCTAGTACCCTTGTTACTTAGATTTATGTTAGTTCCTAGGGTAACTCCTCTGGGCCTTAAAATAACCGTTGAAAATCTAAGGGACACCATTATATCCCATAGAAAATGCCAAAAGAGAAGTGAGTGTGTATTCGTTAGTTATTACCGGTAATTACATTCTCTCTCGCCATAACTACTCTCAGCATAAAATTAAGATTATAATCACATCCGGTAATTACATAACCATATTCTCATACTTCGAGGGCAATGCCAAATTATCAAGCCCCACATACCCAAATGTGGTGATGAAAGATATGTACAGAAAGAATATATTTTCAGCCACAACAATAAAAACAAAGAAAAGAAAAGAAAGGCTCACCAGAAAAGAAAACAAAAAGTTAAAAATCTCTAGATTTCTACTGTTCCCTCAATGAAGCCAATCATTTGTTCAAAACCAGTTTCGATCATGCAAGTAATTTGCAAAATAAATAAATAAATAAACCTGTTAGACAGACACATCGAGATGAGAAATTGAAATAACTTTAAAACCGACCCAGACGAAGCAAACAATCAAGCTTAACTTCTGAACAGACAAAACAACCCTCTATTTGGCTGCCCAGAAAAGAAAGAGAAGCATAAAATTCAGATCCCAAATCATTCTTAGTCAGCAGAATAATACGATTGAGGTTCAACTTATTAGCCACAAAACTGAAAGAATCAATTCAAGCAGAAAATTTTCATATTCCGAGCTTGCAAACACATCAATGCCAAACAACGCCACTACAAATTTAATATCTTTACGATTCCGTACCTTTCCCACAGCGACCAAACAGAAGCCACAGAATCTGAAAACAAAAACCATAAATAAAATTCAAATAAGTGAAAAAAACTGTAATGGTTTGCGAGAGAGAGAGAGAGAGAGAGAGAGGGAGACTACCTTCGTTGCTTCAAGAGAATCAGAGACTGAGAGACTCCGACGAACGTTAAACAGGGGAGGGGAGAATATCTGGAACAGAAAGAAAGATAATAAAATCAAGAACGATTTGTTCCTTCTCTCTGTCTGGAATTTGCCAATTACCGGAGTAGCCTCCTTTTATACCCGCTAATTTCTTTCGGCACTTTTTTCTTTTAAGGGCATCAAAAGAAAATAACCATATCTCCCTCCTTAAACAAAAACAAGAATAATCAAAAAATGAAGGTGGAAAACAGAAACGTGTTTTCCAAAATCTAGGTATGTGTCTAGAGTGCTCTTGTAAATAAAATAAAAAAAGTTTGTGCATACGTTGGTCGATGTTTCTTATACTGGCATGTACGAGGTGCTTTAAAAACCTAGTTCCCATCATGCTTACGTTGGTCCACGATATGAAGTGGACTTTGAATTACTCAGTCTTAGTGTCACAAATGTGACATAGGGACATAGTCTTTCGAATCCAAAATTATTATTTCAGTGGATGTTTTAACACTACATTAACATACCGCGTATTTAATCATACACAATATCTTTTTAACATGTATTGTAATTTGTAATACCCCTCACCACGCCAAAAAAATTTCTTCCAAAAATTTCAACATATGGCCATAGAGAGCAGAGAAAGCTCATCTGCCTTTAGCTAGCTATCAGAAATTGGCAATGATATGCCTTCATAATCACAAATAAGAGTTCCATACAAAACCTCTCACAGCGTCCAAAGAAAATTAAATTCAAAGGAGAAAGAAAAACCAATTCAGTCAAGATAAACTTTAACATCAATCCCACTATCAATGAGGGATTGAACAACTGCCCTAATCTTCCCTTCAAACTTGTCCCTGTCCCTGGGAGTATAAGCAGCAGTGTAGACATCAGCTTCTCTTGCCCTATCGGCTAAGATTTGGCCGACGGCCAAACAGGCCGGTATATCACAGCGAGACTTGAGGACAGCTTTAATGTCTTTGGAGTTGGTACCGGCAACTGCAACCTGCTTGCAGGTCACCCGGTGGGTGATAGAGGCTGAAACAAACCGCTTTGAGATGAACACATCAAGTGTAAATGGTTCAATGTAGGCTATGGTGCGCTGTTTGAATGATACATGTTTTTGTGGATTTTTGGATATCCTCTCCTTCTGGTAAGTGTATGGCCGGCTATTGTTATCATCAAGGAAATCCTCTACCCCGAAAAAACTTCTCTGCGCACAATTGACCTATAAATTGCACAATTAGATGGCAGTTGGTTTCATCAAAAGGTTTCTAAAGGGAAAATTAGATGGCTAGCAAATCTTCATGGCATCATGCAAGCATAAAAAGATGTTCAAACGTGCTTCCTTAACCCAAAATTCTGTGATGTCAAAATTCCAGAACATGAGAAATATGGGAACTGGGAAATTGGGATTTGAAGTGCACCTGTCCACTGTGGAAACCACTGGTGGACACATACAGGCAAGGCAGAACTCTGTTTCCTCCATACACATGAACCCCTTTGTTCCACACCTTCCCAAAGACATGCTTCAACATTTTTTTTTCCTTTTTACTCGCACACAAGACACCTTGATGTAGAATGATCCTACTTCTGTTTAATAAGCTGAAAACAATACACAACCACAAAGAAGGAAACTTAGAACAACTATGAGAAATCTGGATTCAGCAATGGCATGCCTTACTGTACAAATTTACCAACATGCAGAGATACAGTCCCTTCGTTGAGGCATTACATCGAAAAGGTGTTAGGCAATGGAAGATATACAAAAACATTAAAAAGGAAGAACCCATTTATAGGAAACACGTAAGGACCAATATTGTGAGTACCTTCAAAGTTACACAGACTCGAATCGAAATGAGCATTTTATCGAACAAGTAAAGTGCACAGTGCACTATGCAAATGGCCAAATTTTAAACAAAACTAAGCGAGGGAGAGAGAGAGAGAGAGAGACCTGGAGTGTGAGGGAGAGGAGCTCTCTTAGGCGTGTGGAGAGAAACGGCGTCGTACTGATAGGTCTTCAGCTAGGGAGTAATAATTTGTGGTGACAGCGACCACAAAGAAAAGAAGAAAAGAGAGAGGCACTGAACACAGCTCAGAACTGCCGCTAGTCGGCACACAACTGCTGGTTCCTTTGCCTATGTGGGGACTGGGAAGCGAGCGAGGACTCTAATATATGGTTAGTTTGGCTATAAATAAAGTTCATGAAGATTAAATGAACAGGGCGGGCATTTGGTCTAGTGGTATGATTCTCGCTTTGGGTGCGAGAGGTCCCGAGTTCGATTCTCGGAATGCCCCTCTGTAAAATAACCACCATTTTTTTTTTAATTAATGTAACATGCATATCAGAAAACCAATACTTGCAACCTCTTCTTTTATTTTTTTGCCAGAAGTATTTGCAACCTCTTCTCAGCATTTTATTTGCACCAAGAAAGAGGAGAGAGAAAAAACTAATGCCCCTGGCTCCACATACAAACTGAATCTATATAACAGAAAGAAAAAGTAAATTGACATTAATTTCTAGTTCATTCCATTTTTCTCGTGCAGCATTGTAGCCTCAGTTACATCAATGGTACAAAGGATGCTACAATCTACTACATTTCTAATTTAAAATGGTCGTAATACCAGGAATTGATAACGGATCAAGCTCCCAATAGCCTGCAAGTCGACTGTCACTCTCCATGGTATGCTGAAAAGCCGGAATTTGGTGAGAGAATCTACCAATCTCCGCCCGTGGTATGTCAATCACACCAGTTTTCAATCTGTGGATTCTCGGAGCCCTATATACTGATTTATATCCATTAAGCTTTGCCAGAACCACAACCTTTGTGCTCTGGTCATTATCTTCCAGGACTTCTACTATCTCACTTTCACCCTTCCACAAGTTAGGATAGGCCAACTCAGGGTTGTGGTTCTTGTATAGTGCCCAAACTTCACCTTTCCTGGGGTTTATTTCAAAATTCTTCTTACCAGGTTTGGCTTTCAGACAATGAGAAAATGAGGTGCGCGGGAAGACCTTGGTTTGACCACCTTTGACTTTAAATGTCCCACAACAAACTGGTTCACTCATGCCTTCTGGTTCCAAGCAAGGTTCAAGCAGTGCCATATGCAATTGAAAATTTGGCTTAGACTCAATCCTCTTAATTTGAGCGTAAGTCTTAGGCATCCCACTCCTCTCACTATACAATGCCCATATTTGACCAAGCTGAAATTTCTCCTCAGATTTTTGCCCATTGAAGTCATAGAACTGAGTCTGCGATAATCTACAGGCAGGAGATGAAGATGGAGGGGTAACAGGGCTTTTCATGGAACCAACAGAAGGAAGATCCTTCACACTTGAGTGCATTCTGTCATCTGACTGACTAGAAGTAGAGTTTATTTTGGACGGAGTGACGTTGGGATGGCTTTCATCGTTGGTGGAATCTGGGCGCTTCATAGTTACATTTGCTCTGGTACTGTTCTTACTTAAATCCCTTGGTGATCTTCTAAGCCTGAAAGTCTCTCTATCAGAATCATTTTTCAGATGTTTCTTTGGTGTTTTGATAATTTCATCAGCCTGACATGCAGAAGCACTTCCTGTGGGTTGAGTAAGGTCACATCGAGTCGCTTCTAGTTTAACAGAACTAGCAGACTGGCTATTTGCCTTTCTTGGAGATCTACGCATTGAAGTCTCTCTTACAGAATTCTCCTGTTTCTCAGCTGCGCATACTCTCCCAGAACCCATAACAGGTTTGCCTTCACTTTCTAGGAACTCACGGGACAAACCATTAGGTTCGGTATTCATGGCTCTGTTACCCTTTTTCAAGTCATTGAAATCATCAAGATTGGTGGGCAAAGAAGCAGGGTCAAACTCAAAGGATTCTTTCGGAACACCATCTCTTTCATCACCAGTCATCTTGAACGACGGAATTCGATGAGAAAATCTATATAGCTCATTACGTGGTACTTGAAACAAGATAACCCCATGCTGCTCACTTCGCTGAAACAGACTGACAAATCCTTTTACTTTGCCTAGATAAGCAACTCCAACACCATTATTTTCATCAAAATCTGACACGACTTCCACAAATTCAAATTTGTATGGCACATGCTTTTCAGGCTCAGAACTCCATCCAATATCCCAATTCTGGTACAGGGCCCAGGTTTCTCCCTTCCTAGGATATACAAAAAAAGAGCTTCTGCCACTGCCTTTTATGCAGTGCATCTGATGAGAAAACATAAGATGATCTGTAACTTCTTGAGTGTGACCAAGTGTGTACTTACCACAAGCAACTGGCAACTCCTTGTTACACCAAGCAATCTCACCTTGGTCATCTGGATTGGACTCCAGCCAGGTGAATCTCACCTTAAATCCAGGTGTGAATACCTTTTTGACACGAGCATAGAATCTTGGCATGCCATCTACTGGATCATAAAGAGCCCATGTCTGATTAGCACTAAAAACATTTTCCAACATATCCTCGCCAAGCCCAAATTTATTAAATTCAGGATCAGGAACCTCAACGCTCGCTGGCATGGATGCGACATTTGAACTTGGTCCAGGACCAACATCAGCATTCAACTTACCGTCATCATTATCTGGCATAGCTGCTTCCTTGACATTTTTCTCAAATTCACCAGGTTTGCTTCTTTTGCTGGGTGAACATTCTCCTAAAGGAGCAGTCACGTTTTGTTCTGCCTCATTCTTATGTCCACCCACAGAAGCAGTAGTGGCAGAATCAGTTGAGCCATCAGTCTTAGATACCCCACTGGACAATTGGCTGTCCCTCCACCTCTTGGGAGGACTCACAAAATCATCATCATTTAGATTTTCATTATAAGAAAGATTCTGCTTTTTCCTTGAAGATCTCCTATTGTGATTGCCTCCATTGGGTTCAGATAGCTTACTGACCTTCTCTTGAATAATAACATGTTCAGAATCAGATGTAGCTGTGTTTCCAGTCTTGCAGCTTTCACTGGATTCAAAAATGGAATTCCTTCCTCTTTTTTTGTTCTTATTTCTTGAAATTTCTGAATCCTTGGACTTCACTGGACCAGACTTGGACATTCCAACCCCATGCCCAATATCTTTCTTTTCACTGTTAGAATCCATACTGACATCATCAGAAAATCCCGTCTTTGACAATGGATTTGAGGCTGCATTTCCATTTTGATATTTGGTGGAGGATGGGTTTCCAGTTCCACCATTACTTTGTGAGGCTACATTAGAAGCACCCTGACTTGGAGGCTCTTTTCGATTCGGAAATTGATTCCTGACAGATTCTGGATGCACCTGAAATTGAATACCCAAATCATGAGCAACAAAGGCTCTTCGGCATTTTTGACAGCGTAACAATCGGTTTGCAAAGTCTTGGTGGTATTGGTATTTTATCTTACAAAAAGGACAACATGTCCAGAATGTTTCTGGTTGCGCCTGTTGATGTTGATTCATGCTAGTGTACTGTGACTGAGGACTATTCTGAATATTGCTTGCAGTATTGTTATGTTTCCTGACAAATAAGTTTCCGTTTGACGGATGAGTTGATGGTTTTGGTGCACCAGCTTTTGCTAGAGCTCTACACTTCATGTCATACACAGAGCGTTTCGCTTGGTCCGCCAGCACCCTGTTTGCTTCCCCGATCAGCTTAAAGGCAGCCTCCGCACCAGAAAACTTATTTTTATCAGGATGAAGTAACAGCGCAAGCTTCCTGTATTGTTTTTTGATGGTTGCATCATTATCAAATTTTTGAATCTGAAGAATTCCATACCAGTCCATTTCAGATCCACCTATTTTGTTTTCTGATGAACAGTGAACTTCACAGACTGTGAGTAACTTCTCAACGTTCTCAAGCTCAGGGAAGAGTCGTTGTGCCTTTTGTGCCATCTTCCTTGCTCCTGTAAAATCATTGCTTTGTATCTTTATCTCAGAAAGTTGCATTGCCCTGACTGCCTCCTCTTTGTTGCACTCCATGGAAGATTTGGAATAAAAATTCGCCTAAGTTCTTTTACATACAGGATATACACCGAGACAAGAAAAAAAAGGGAAATCTACCCCTGCATGTCCACAGTCCAGTCATCCAAAATCTTCACTCCGCACCTATACAAACCAAGCAACTTAAGTCAAACATGCCCACCAGCTCTACGTATATATCTTATTAACATGAAACAACAAATTGACATACCATTCAGTAAGTTCTATCAAAATGAGATGTCCTGTAAGAGTATGAAAGACAACAATCTGGCCTTTCCTGACCAACAGGTTCAGAACAGTTCCTTTGACATCAAACTACCACCCAAACCAAAGATTCCAAACCTGCAGACAAAATACCTATTGAAAGAATCAGAACCAATCAACATGGTAACCGTACATATGTATAAATGACCAAAGTTATTCCACATGTGAATATGAAATCAATCAGGCCCACCCTTTCCGGCAAGTATCTTAATCAAAACCATAAACTCATTATTTACTTTATCCTACAGTGATCTGCTAAGTACTACCCAATTCCATGTATTGATGTATGTCTTTCCTTCCTTGAACCATCTATCATTTTTCAAAATTCAAATAAGCTTATACTGAATTTTCAGCCTACTTTAAAATAAAAAACCAAACCAAAAGGACTTGAACACTGAATTTTCTTGTTCTTTCCTCCATCTTTCTTTTCAGCTACCAAACATACTCTTAGAAACAACCGCATCCTTACAAATGCATAATAAAAACAACACAAATCCAAACATATATAAGTAAACATAAAATGTGAAGAACCACATGTACTATCGCCTTAAAAAATACAGATCAAGTCAATGTATTACCCCAAGTCCAGAGCTTGAGAACCAAACAGCCAAAATTAAGCTCAGAAATGAAGAAAACGAACAAGCAGGGCGCTCGAGTAAATTTCTAGGGAACGAAGATCGAATATGTAATTACGCAGAGGTTTCAAAAACCCTAGAAATCTTGCTGATGAGAAAAATCTCAGCGAGTGAGTGAGAGGTAGATCGAACAAGAGAAGAAGAAGAAGGCGAACTCAATCGTGATATTTGGATTGTTAGGGTTTCCGTTTTGAGAGAGAAATGGAAAAAGATGGGGGGAAGAGAGAGCGGGAAGCGAAAGTGAGCAAAAATATTTGGAGGCAGAGCGGAGAGAGAAAGGGGTGAGAAGGAGGAGAGTTGAGAGTTCCCTGAGTTTCTATGAAATTCCAAATTTGGGTTTATTTCTCTTGAAATTTTATTCGCGGGCCGCTGAAGCCAATAATGCGTCAATGCCCTTTATGCTTCATTTTAAATTGGGAGTTTCACTAAAACACCCAAAATGAAGGTTGAAATTATAAAAAAATCCAACACCCAAAACACTTTATAAACACACCCAAAACCCATCATTACACACACTCAAAACCCATTTATAAACACACCCAAAAAGTTGACTTTGGGGTTGATTTTGGGTGTGTTTCTATGTTTAAATAGTGCTTGGGTTTTTTTATAAATACATGTCTAGGATTGGGTTTATTTATAAATTTGTATTTTAAATTTTCAGCGGAAATGTCTAGAACTATGGTCAGGATCTCCAATAAGGACTGTTGGCTTAGATGACTTTGCCGGCATCTTCTTTTTCCCCCTATATCACGCACGTGAGGTGCATATGCATTATAAAAGTCAGAGTAATTAGTGATCTGCCCCCTGAACTTGTACATAAATTTTGATTGACTCCTTATTCTCTTTTTTAGAAAATTAAGGACATGAACTTCTTTTTTTCGCCAATTTTCCCCCCTACCGTCTAAATCTACAACATTTCATCCAATTTGTTGTTAAATATGAGGACAAAATGGTCATTTTGTACATTAAAAATAAAGTAAAAACCAGAAAATTCAAATAATACTCTCTCTCTCTCTCTCTCTACAGGGGTAGACAAAGAAAACCCAAGGGGGAGGGGGTAAAAAAACACAAGGGAGGAGGTGAGGGCAGGGATCTGTGTGGTGGGGGATTGGTTTAGGAGTGGAGGGTGATGGTTATTGGGGAATGGGAGGAGAAGAAAAATCATGAGGAGAGGGGGGGCGGACTGGG